GTCACTTCGAGATTATTCTATTTTTGAGACCATGGTGGGTTTGTAGGGGCTTGCTCCTCACCCACCGCGGGTCGACCCGGTATCGCACCTACCTCCGGGAACGGCCCATTCATCCTTCGGGATGAAATATAGTGAAAAAGTGAGTGGATTGCGTTTGTGCAGTCAAAGGTTAAACAAATATGAAACAAACCGATGAATCTACTCAAATATTTTGCTTCCCTTTCTCGCCTTCATTAAAATTGATTTGTCTTATCTATTCAGTATATGCTATCTTAACGAAACAAAGCCAAAGCCTAACTGTTTTATCGCATTTCTTTCTGCAATCGTTATGACCACTGTCAAGTTCCAACTTTAATTCATGGTCTAATAGCAATGGATTATTGATAAATAGCATTTAATTTTGTTTATTCTGAAAATTAAAATTCTCAAGGAGAGTTATGGAAAATGATGAAAAAACAGTTCATTTTATTTCACTTTAATATTTTCAATAAAAGCATGAAGCAATATCGCGAAAATGTAGTTAATTATCTCCAAATGTTATAATCAGAATAATTAGCTAATCTATCGTTCCGGCATGGTCATTCAGATAAAAAAATGCTACTGAATGATAACAGAATTCAAGTATCTGATAATCAATAATGCTCCATTATGATATCCTAATCAAACATTCAATCCCTCTTAATAAATGATTTTTCGTCTACTCTCTGTTGTATTCACTTGAAATAAACATCAATGAATGTAAACAGAAATAGAAAACTTGAAGTATAATTAGAAATGAATAACAAAGATGATACTGGAAATAGTATTAAATAAAATAGAGGAAGCAGAAATAAATCATAGCTCATAAGAAGAAATATAAAATATAAATCTCTCAATATATCACAAAATGAAAATAGTAATAAACTTTTCATTCATATTTTGATGTTAATAAATTTGCATTTTATTTTGTATTATCTTATTTATAGTAAACATTTTTTTATTATATACAACGAAAATTAAGCCATTTAACATAAATGAATTACCTTAATTATATGCATATAATTGTAAATTAAATTATTAAATGATTTTCGAAATTTGAAGCATTCATGTCGGTTGCTTTCATGTTAATGATTCATTCCTTTCCAAAACGAAATTTGAATTTAGTTCTAAAAATTTTAGGATTATGAACATAGCTTAAAGTAAAATATTTTTCTTATTTCTAAATACAACGAATGAGAAGAATCGATGTTCACCTATCATGAAACAAAGAAAAATTTACCAAATCAGGTGCACTAATCGATGTGTCATCCTTTTGTCGTAACTTATAGTTATGGAATGAATGAAAACTAAAACTTTTATCACTTCAAATATCTTAGTAGCCCCTTTTACCTTAGTACTAATATTGAAAATGATTGGATAATCTATTTAATTGGTTAATTTCATTCATTAGTTTAAAGTTTTGAAACGTTAAATTTGAAATTAAGGTAGAAAATTTCGGAAATTGACAAACAGTGCCTTAACATATAGCACATTGTTTAAATTTAAGTAAGAATCATTATTTAAATAATTATAGCTAATTGTTATAAAATTTTAATTTCAAGAAGAATAATGGAAAATTATGCTTCTGAAGCATTTTCATATCAATGGAAATGAGTTATGAGAAAAGAAAACATTGAATACATTAAGCATTTTTATTCCTGCAATTCAGGACAGTATTATCAGGAATATCGGAAAGTAAATCATTTCCATTTCAATTTTCTTGATTGTATATATTTATACAATGGAAGGAATTGACCATTTGAATAAGGAGAACGATAAGTTGACAGTGAAGTAAGTAATCGGTAGAGAGATATATGAATCATGTCAAGCACTATAATTCTCAGTAAATTATAAGACAAAAAGAAAGAAT